CCACCCGCCCCCAAGCAAACAGAAGAAATAAAACACTGAGAAGAAACGGGATTTCCTGAGTGTGGACTCTGGTTTTCCACACTGGAGTCCCGCACGTCTGACTCCGTTGGATTTCCCCACAAACCAAACCAAATCTAGGTCATGTCACCTGTGCACACGCAGTTTGGAGTGGATGTGCCCAACCATCGGGCCACTGCTCCTGCTTCCCGTCAAAGCCAGCGTCCAAAGTCTCCCCCAGCAAGGCGGGAGCAGCCCACAGCACACTGCAGGTGGCTGCCAGAGGCCACACCTTCCCTCTCTGGCTCCACCTCTTTCCAGCTGTCAGGTGTGCCATGGGCCACCACAGGCCAGGGACACAAGCCACAGGGTTCCAAGGCTGTTGTAATGCCCTCCTCATTTCTTCTGGACTGATTAAAGACACTCTCATCAGACCTGAATCACTAACACATTTTCTCTTTCTCTCTCTCCCTCCCTACTTGTCTCTGATTTTTCTTTTATGTCTCCTTTTGTTAATTTCCACTGAAACGTGCCCTCTTCCCCACCTCCTCCCTCCCTGCCCCCGCTCCTATTTCCCCTTCCCTAAATGGTGGTTGTGGTGCCCCGGGGGTGGGGTGGGGATCCACCCTTCTCCCTGTCCTGGGTGGCAGTGTGGGGACACGGTTTCCTGTGTGTGACCGTCATCTCCCTGTGCTCCCTCTTGGGGGCCAGCGTGGTGCCCTTCATGAAGAAGACTTTTTACAAGAGGCTGCTGCTCTACTTCATAGCCCTGGCGATTGGAACCCTCTGCTCCAATGCCCTCTTCCAGCTCATCCCCGAGGTATGACAAGCCAGGCCTCGGTCACGCAGGAGCACAGCCGTTTCCCAGGGGGACAGTGGGGAGACCCATCGTGCAGATGGAAGGCCTTCCGTTTTTGAGAAGTGAGCCAGCACTCTTGGGATGAGCCAGAAGAGGCAGCGTAGTGTAGGGTGCAGAGTTTGGGTTGTCTAATGCAGACGGCCTGGGTTCAGATCCCAGCTCCACCAGGTTCTGTGGCCTTGGGCCAGCCCCTTAACTTGACTAGTCTTCCCATTTCCTCACATATAAAGGCTCTGTAAACAATGCTGCGGTGAGGATTACATGAGTTAAATTCAGTAAAACATTGACTGCCTTTGGCACTTCAAAAGCCATTACCAATTGAGTCGATTCCAGCTCACAGTGACCCTAGAGGACAGGTTAGAATTGTCCCCAAGAGTTTCTAAGACACCGACTCTTTATAGGAGCAGGAAATCGCGTCTTTCTCCCACAAAGCGGCTGGCGGTTTCAAACTGCTGACCTTGCAGTTAGCAGTTAGTAGCAGTTAGCAGTTAGTAGTTAGTAGTTAGTAGCCCAACCCACGATGCCACCATGCCTCCTGGCGGTAGTGACTTCTAGGTGCTCTGTAAGTGTTGCGTGAAGAAACGTAGGCTGCTAGCCAGATTACTTTCTGGCTCCTATTTGGAGCTTTGGGCATGGAAAACTATAAAGCACAGCCCAGAAATCATCCATCAGATGATTCGTTTTCTTCAGTTGGGAGTTTGAGGGCAAATAAATGCAAATAAAAACGCAGTCCAATGTCACCTACGTTGACTGACCCTTCGCCCCTCTGCTAAAGTTAACGAGAACGTTCCTCGCGAAAGAGGACAAAGACTTTGCGATGTCTCCTCCGATTTAATGCAGTGCCTTGGGACCTGCTGCTTACAAATAAGACTCCTAGAAGCACAGTCATTAAGCACTTGGCTACAGCCCTAAGGTCGGCAGTTCGAACCCTCCAGACGCTTTCTGGGAGAAAAAGCCTAGCGATCTACTCCCATAAAGTTAGGCAGCCTTGCAGACCCTGCAGATCCCCCAGGTCTACTCTGTCTTCTGCATCCCCAAAAGCCGGAGCTGACACCGCAGCATTGGGGTCTGGGTTTGAAATGGCAACAAGCAGGAGGTGTTTCAGTGTAGGGGATGTGACAGGCCCGGACAAGGCTGTAATTGAACCCAAAAGATGGCCCTTGATGTCTTCTCAGACTCTATGATGAGTGGGTGCCCCCAGCGGACCCGCCCTGACATCTAGAAAACCCGTCATACCCAGTAGACAGGTAAAGGATCGGCCTGCACAAGGTTCACCAAGCCGAGAATCCTGGCTTTATGCTGCCAAACGCTGTGCTTTTGCCCCTGCTTCCCTTTACGGCTTTTTGTAGCGGGTTGCCTCTTTTCCCTTCTCCTTTCCCAGAGGTAACTTCCCCGTCCTAGAAAGCTGGCCAGCAGGTGTGTTTCTATTCTAGACCTCGGCCTGTGTGCCTCGCAGGAGACAGCCGTCACCCCGGCGATGGCAGGCCAGTGCTGACCCCTGGTGCACCAGGTGTCGGGGGAGGGCTGTGCTCCAGAGGACTGTGGGGGATGACTTATGTTCCAGAAGGAACATTAGCTACCAGGCTTTTCTGCAAAGTATCTCTGAACGGATACTTTGCAGAGCTTTGGGCACCTTTCCCACCTCTCACCAGCAGAGGGCTGGGCGCCTTTTGAGCAGTTGTGTGCAATTGTGCCACCCAGGAATTCTGGAAGACTTAGCGTCAGGGGTAGAAATTCTATTTTGTCCCTTTAAAACAGAAAGGAAAAGTGCTTTTTTAAGCTGCAGCTCAAACAGACGCTGAGGTGTCTGTTCCCGGTAAAGAGGCACAGCCTTGGAAATCCCGCCGAGGGCTGCTTTGAGTCGGCATCAACTCCACCAGCATGGCTGCCTTCTTTGGCCTCTTCATGAGAAGGCTGTGTGGTTTTCCCAAGTCCCTTTGCCTGTCAGCCAACTGAGGTGCAGGCCATCGGATACTCTCCTGAGCTCCCACCACCCCTCGCGCTCTCCGCCCGTCTTCCCTTGTCCTCCCCGCCCACCCCCAATAAGTGAAGTTTCCAGACACATGCACACTCCCAACAAGCAGAACAGATAGGCAAGAAGGAGCAGGGCTCCCACAGTCCTGTGGTCTGCATGCTTGGCCTTGTGCTCGCTGGAAGGTCTGTGGTCAGGACGATGCTGCAGCTCTGACTGGCTGAGGGATGGCTTTCCCATTTTAGAAACGGTAATTATGCCCACGCCCTTTATGTTGAAAGGCAGACCAGCCAGGGACACTGGCTCAGATGGAAACACACAGAGCTGCTCCCGAAACATGGAATTTACTCACAAGATGGGCCCGTGAGGCAAAGCAACGAGAGAAGGCAGGCAGAATCCTATGACACGTAGCAAATACCAGCCCAGGGCTGCTCTTCCTGGGACCGAAAAGCTGCAGAGCATTTGTCTTTTGCTGATCCTGTCACCCTGGGGAAACAAGGCTTCGGTCTTGCTGGTGAGCGGACAGGTAGCTGCAGGAGTCCCGCAGGATGTCTGTCTCCTAGAGCCCAGGAAGTGGTTGAGCGACGAAGGTGGCCAGGGCCGGACACTCATTCTGTTTTCCTGGGTCCACAGGCTTTTGGCTTTAGCCCCATTGAAGATAATTACGTCTCCAAGTCTGCAGTGGTGTTTGGGGGCTTTTACCTTTTCTTTTTCACAGAGAAGATCTTGAAGATGCTTCTTAAACAGAAAAATGAGGTGAGACGTTCACCGTTGGCCCAGGAAATTGTTTGAGGGAAAACGCCCGTCTCCAACAGGGGCTCTAGTGGGTGGGGCAGTGGCGTCAGCCCAACACGCTCCCCCCGTCTGAGCCTTCGAAGCCACAGTGCTCACGGCTGTGCCGTCTCCCTTCCCCTCCCCTCACAGGGAGTCCACATCGTGTGACGAGGTCCGGCCACTGTGGAGGTCGCGTTGTTGTTGTTTTTGTTTCGTAAACAGCAGTTTCCGAGACTTGGTTGTATTCTGGCAGGTGTCCTTCATGCGTTTATCCTTTCAGAAGATGCGGGGGGTGGGGGGTGGCTTGAAAAGTACGCCCAGCGCCTGGGCACTGAAGTCAGGCTGCCGAGCAGTGAGATTGATGACCGCAGCCCTGGTGACCGGCCACCTTTGAGTTGGCCCTCACCTGTGGCACGGCTGCCCCGGTCCTGCGCCATCATCCTACCCGTGACCATATGTGGGACCCGTCCGACGTCCGTGGGCTGGTTTGGGGGAGTAGGTCTCCAGGCCTCTCATCGGAGTCTGTAAGCTCTGGTGAATCCGAATCAACCTCGTAGCAGCACCCAGGCCTCCACGAGCAGTTGGCGGTGGCCGTGCAGGGGGAGCCTTGGATGGTCCCTGAGCCCGAGTCTCTCTGTGAATCACCACGCCCCCCCCCCACCTCCTCATTCACTCGTGCACCTGTCTTAAATGCAGGGCACTTCATTTGCATGCCATCCTTACCCAGAGGCCGCGCACCTCTCCTGTTCCAGCTTCAGGACATGGGCTGCCGGAGCGAGCATGCCCTGGTCTCAGGATAGCACAGTCCCCAAACTAGGGCTGCAGTGCCTGGTGTGCTGTCATCAGACAGACATTTTCAAAGCAACTGACCCTGGCCATTGCAAAGGAGGAACCCTAAACAGTCCTGAGTCATGGCGGCCTTGCTCCAAGACGGCTCCCGGCAGAGATGTTTCAGACCGACTCTTTCCATTCCGACGGCCTGCCCCCCTTCTCCTGCAGCGTGTTTCCTGGGGTCCCTGAAGCTGCTCTCGGATGGTGGGGATGATCGAGGGCAGGAACTCGGACAGGTTTGTGTCTCGGGAGTGCACGCTGACCCCCTTTTCCCGCCCCACGCCCCAGCATCATCATGGACATAGCCATTATGGCTCTGAGGCACTGCCCTCCAGGAAGGACCAGGAAGAGGGGGTGACAGAGAAGCTGCAGAACGGGGAACTGGACCACATGATCCCTCAGCACCGCAATAGCGAGCCGGACGGCAAGTCCCCCTCGATGGATGAGAAGGTCATTGTGGGCTCGCTCTCCGTCCAGGTCAGGGGGCCACTAGCTGCTCGGTGGGCGCCTGGAGGTGGGGGCCTCGAGGACAGGGAGGGGGTCCAACCTTAAAGGTGCCTGGTCTGGGCTCTCTCGTAGGACCTTCAGGCTTCCCAGAGCGCGTGCTACTGGCTAAAAGGGGTCCGCTACTCTGATATCGGCACCCTGGCCTGGATGATCACCCTGAGCGACGGCCTCCACAATTTCATCGACGGCCTGGCCATTGGTGCCTCCTTCACCGTCTCTGTCTTTCAAGGCATCAGCACCTCCGTGGCCATCCTCTGTGAGGAGTTTCCGCATGAGCTCGGTACGGTGGGGGGCAGGGGGGATTGGGGGGGGCTTGCTCCACACACACGATGACTGGCCGAGAATGCCTGCTGTCATGAAGTCACATGGTCCCTGAGATGTGTGCGGGAGCCCCTGGGTGGTACACACGGTTAAATCGCTGAGCCACCAGTCAAAGAGGTTAAAGACTGCGCGTACTCCGAGAAGCCTCGCAAGACAGGCCCGGCAATCGGCTTTCCCCAAACCAGCTGTTGGAGCACCGTGTAACTGACACACAGGGGCTGCCATGCATCCCACTCGGTGGTGACTGGTAGATGCTGTGTCCTCTCAAACCACTATTAACCGTCCAATGTTCATTGAAAACAATAGGGGATTTTTATAGGCGTGTTTATTGTTCTCTAGCACCTCCTGAAAAAAAGTGGTGGGGGGTGTGTGCGTTTAATATGGTACCGACTTCTTAGAATGACTATGAGCATTTAATGAAAGTTGATCGTGACAGGGACTGACTCGGTGCCACACGCTATTCTGAGGGCTCGGGAGAGGCTCTCTTCCTGTGTTGTGTTAATCTTCCCAGGGAGCGAAGATAGGGGTTAGAAGTGCGAGGGCTGGTGGGTGCTGTGGTTGAACCTGGCTTCAGAGGCCTGGTGCAGCGGGAGAGTGTAAAAATAGGAACTTTGCACTCAAGGTCAAATCCTAGCATTGCATGTGGCTTTGGGCAAAGTACTAGACTCCTCGGTATCTGTTTCATCCCCGGAGGGTACCAGTTATTGTCGTTGTGAGGGAAACAGCACCTTCTATTTCGCCTTCTGTGCAGGAGAAGTGAGGCTGCTGCTGGCTGGTATTCGACTTCAGAGATTCTCCCATGCATGATAGCGTCACCACTTACATGTTGGCCAGTGTGTCGTACTGTGGTGGCTCGTGTGATGCTAGAAGCTATGTCATCGCTATTTCGTATACCAGCAGGGTCACCCAAAGTGAACAGGTGTCAGGAGAACCTCCGGACTAAGAACAGGTTACAAAGAAGAAATGGGCTGCCTGCTTCTAAGGAATTACGGTCAGGGCAAGTAGTGGAAACCGGATGGTCAGAATTGAAACAGGCTGGAACATAGGAACAGGCGTGAGTGAGGATGGCCCTGGACCGGGCAGCGTTTCCTTAGTTGCACACAGGGTCACTATGAGTCGGAACCGACAGCGGTACCGAACAACCACGTGAATTGTCTTCCCCCACGAGGCTGGAAGTACAGAGCCAGTTGCCCCTGTCCTCCCTTGTAGGAGACTTTGTGATCCTGCTCAATGCCGGCATGAATATCCAGCAAGCTCTCTTCTTCAACTTCCTCTCCGCCTGCTGCTGCTACGTGGGCCTGGCCTTTGGGATCTTGGCCGGCAGCCACTTCTCTGCCAACTGGATCTTTGCCCTGGCTGGAGGAATGTTCTTGTATATTTCTCTGGCGGATATGGTAAGTCTGTCATCCTCCGTGCCACGCGGCCCAAACTGGGCCAGCAGATTCATTGGATGGGGGACCACATTAGGCTTCTTGGTTTTTTTGGGGGGTAGCTGTTTTATTGATGCCATTGTTATACTGTATAAATTCATCTATTTAAAGTATATCACTCCATGTGGGTGTGTTTTTTGGGGGGGGGGGTCATTGTTTTTTGCAGGTGAGAACATTACGTTTTAAAGGTGGAAAGCCTTCTCTTATTAGCATAGCCCATCAAAAATGATTAAGCCAAACTCCAAGGTCCTTTCTGACATAGTGTTGAATGGGTATCGACAGGTGACTAAAGAGCAAGAAGGAGGCTGGAGAGGAGGGAGGGGAGAAGATCATCCAGATACCATTCTGCCCCAAACAACCCTAACAGTGAAGACTGCCTCTGTCTCTGTGGTGTGTGCCGATGCGTTGCGTCCGTTTTTAGATGGCTCCAACGACCTTGGAGACTTGATAGGGTGCCACTGGATGTTCCGCTTCCTTCTTCTTCTCTTAACCTGGTCCAGACGTGTTCTTCCGTGCTGCATAACCCTTGAACACATCCTTCGCCAGTGGCTGTGGCTGTTTATTCCGCGAGAGGCTGATACCTTCATCCCAGAAGTAGAATTGCTATCTCCAAAGGACGGATGCCTACTTTTAGCCGACTGCATTGTTTTTCCAAAGGAGTTTAACCTTTTTACACGTTCACCTTTTTTCAAAGACAGAACTGCTTCTTAAGGAGCTCTGGGGGCACTGAGCTGCTCACGACCGGGCCAGCAGTTTGAACCCACCCGCTGCTCAGAGGGAGAACGATGAGGCTTTTTACGCCATCAAGATTTAAAATCTTGACAGCCCACAGGGATGGTTCTGCCCTGTCCTGTAGGGTCACCATGAATAGACCCGGTGACATGAGTGTAGTAGATGAAAGTGTACGTGCTACCAATCGGTCGGTCCCCCACTGTGGTGGTTTGGAATTTGCTAGTACCCGATCTCTTCCTTTCTTAGAAGCCTTAGGGACTCGCTTTCTGGACTGCTTGCACAAATCGTTTTTTCATGTCCTTTGAAGGGAGTATTTTTTAAGGACCCCACTGACCGTCGTGATCCAACCTCACCCCGGGGGGGAAACGTCCTAGACCAGTGGTTCTCAACCTTCCTAAGGCCGCAGCCCTTTAATACAGTTCCTCGTGTTGTGACCAACCCTCGCCCCATAAAATTATTTTCGTTGCTACTTCATCACTGTAATTTGCTACTGTTATGAATCAGGCGACCCCTGTGAAAGGGTTGCTCGACCCCCAAAGGGGTCTCGACTCACAGGTTGAGAACCGCTATGCTAGACCTTTTCCTCCTATGCAGAGCCTGCCTCGGGGTTAGGATATGTTTGCATTACTTGAATGGCACTGCCTCCCAGGTGTCGCCTGGTCCGCAGCTCCCCTCCACAGGAAACCTCGAATCACGGCCCTGTTGGAACTCAGACATGCTGGTTTGATTTCCCAAAGAAGTGGCGACAACATTTGTGGTCGCAAAATGTTCTTTGCAAGTGTTTTTAAAGCCCACCATGAGAAGTATATTTTTTATCCCAGCACATTGCTTTTTAACCAGCGTGCAAGTGCATCCAGGGCCACACAGGAGTGCCGTGTTATCGCTGAGTGTGGGGAGAGGGGGACGAGGCTGCTCTTGCTGCGCGTGTTCACTGGAAACCGGTGCTGTGAGGAAATGGAGTGTGTGTGTGTGTGTGTGTGTGTGTGTGTGTGTGTCTGGTGTCTGATCTCCCTCAGCTA